ATTATATTATATTTAATTAATATTTATATATATATATACTTACTTGTATAATTAACAATCTACTTATTTCTATTTAAAATTAATATTATGATACAATTTAAATTATTTATTATAAATTTAAAAGTTTAAATAATAATTTATATATTTTAAAATTATAAGGGTTATAATAACACCGGTGTAACTTTTACTAAGTAATACACCGCTCAATAACTTTTTAAATGTGAATTTTGTTAATCCAACTGTTAGATTGAAAGTTCATATCACTTTATATGTTTATATCAAATTTTGTTAAAATTGAACGACAACTTGAAGGTAATCAAAGTGTTCATATTTTAGTATATTTTTGAAATATATATATTACGTCAATTTTGTTTTATAAGAATTAAATATCAAATCATCTTGAATTAATATAAAATTTTGTATATATGAGCTAAGAGTAAAAAACTTTCACTCTAACGGTTGAATTTATAAAATTCACATTTAATATAAAGTTATTGAGTAGTGAAATACTTAGTAAAAGTTACACTGGTGTTATTATAACCCTTCTCTTTTAAAATATTATTTTTATAAATTAAATTTTAGCATTTTAAATAAATTATTAATTAACTTAATATATTTATTCATCTTAAAATATGACTAAGGGAGACGCATGCGAGGAAGAATGACTAAGGGGGAGCGTTGCATTTTTTAAATAGTTATAGTACTTTTAAGATCGGTTAATTTTAAGATCGATTCTTCTATGACCGATCTTTAAAGTTATGTCTAATACAATTTTTAAGATCGGGTATTAAAAGAACTGATCTTGTATACCACTTTTAAGATCAGTTCTTTTGTAACCGATCTTAAAAGTTGTGTCATACATACCTTTTAAGGTCGGTCATAAAATAACCGATCTTAAAAGTATTTTTAAGATCAGTTAAAATTTAACTGACCTTAAAAGTGTTCACATTAAAATAATACAAAAAAGGAAATAAGATTAACTAAAATATACCTTAAGTATTTGTGTCAATGTAAGAGTTATCAATAACTAACCTGCCAAGAAGGATCCAATCGAGTGGCACGAAATTGCACCCACTCCTCATCAGTGATTTGGTACTTTAGATAGGGAGTCTCATTTTGTCGCTCTCCAAATAGATACTCTCATGTCAAGAAAGTCTTGATGTCTCTCCACCTGGTGGCAAGGACAGATAACATCTTCCTCCTCATGACCTTAGTGTTGGGAATGTCAAAATTTTGCTATGAAAATAACAACAATATTAAATAATGTATTTAAGTTATATAATATTGAAGGGATGTGAAAGTATATACCTGAATATCCTGCCACATGAGGTTCTTGTCAGCCTCATGAACGTCATCCCATGATGGAATGATAATAGAAACATGTCGTCGAGCTAGGACTCCCAAATAGCTCTTAAACTTGGCAGCATTTGGGCCTGATGCCTTGCCAGAACGAGGATCCACCTCAACCGGTGTCCTCTCCTTGGCAACGCGTCCAGTTGTCAACCCAGAAAATCAGGTGACAGATCTACCTTCCCTCCTTCCACTGCCAGACCCCGAATCCTCCATAATCCTGAAAAAATTAAACTCTCATTATTAAAACAATGAATTAACTGAATAGACAAATAAAGTAAAAAAGATAATAACAATATAGCAACAAAATAACTAATAAAAAAACAAATAATACACAAACAGAAACCTATTAGGTTGGAATGTTTTCCCATATTCCTTCATCATGATCACTTCGAATAGCATGTATTTCGTCCACTTCATTGTCCGCAATAGGACCAAATGATCTGCTTGAGAAAGACGGTGTCTCATGCATATCTAGAGACTCATCTTCGTGAGTTCCATGCATGGTTCTTCCTTCGAGGACCACTGACCATTTCTCATTACATGGATCCTTGACATAAAAAACTTGTCTTGCTTGATATGCCATAATAAAAGGTTCATCCTTATAGCCGACCTTATTCAAATCAACCAAAGTAAATCCTAAATCATCTGTCCGCACACCCGTATTGCCATCAACCCATTTACACTTGAACACAGGCACTCTAAACGTAACATAATCAATTTCCCATATGTCTTCTATGACTCCGAAATAACTCATGGATGCTGTAATGGGATTTTTATCTTTTGAACTAGCAAAGTGCACAGCCTCAGCCTGAATTGTAACCCCACTATTTTGTACTCTACTTTTGTCATCTTCTGTCTTTGTATAGAAACAATATTTGTTAATGTCATACCCACCAAATGTAATGACATCGTTGTTAGGCCCACGAGCGAGTCTCAAAAGTGTATCAGAAGCATTAACCTCACCGTAAACCTTTTTCTTAAACCAAGCTAAGAAACTCTTGTTATGTTCATTCAATACCCATTTCTCATTCATCCGGGGGTGTGCTATCTTGATTTCATCTATGTGTTCAGATATGTAAGGAATTACTTCATCAGTGTTGTTCAATATGTACAAATGTGCTTGGTCAACTTCTGTTCGACTCACAGTTCTAATCTTTAAACTTCGAGTACCCTTACCAAATTGTTTCCCATCATGTCGAGTCTTGGGAATTCCTATTGGTTCTGATTTCGACATGTACCCTGAACAAAACTCAATGGCTTCTTCTGCAATGTACCTCTCCACAATAGAGGCTTCTGGGCGGTATTGATTCTTGACATATCCTTTTAAGATCTTCATATATCTCTCAACAGGGTACATCCATCTAAGATAAATCGGGCCACACAATTGAATCTCCCTAACCAAATGAACTATCAAATGCACCATGATATCAAAAAATGAAGGTGGAAAATACATTTCCAATTGGCACAAGATTGTGATTGCTTCATTTTCTAACTCATCTAACTTTACAAGATCAATTACTTTGTTGCAAATGGCATTGAAGAATAAATACAATCGAGTAATAGCAACTCTAACAGAAGATGGTAAAATGTTTCTAATAGCCACATGCAAAAGTTATTACATTAAGACATGACAATCGTGAGACTTTAAACCAATTAACTTCAAAATCTTGCATAGACACCAGACTCTTAACATTTGAGGAGTACCCTTGTGGAACTTTCACACTGCGTAAGCACTCACGAAAGATTTTTTTTCTTCTTTTTTTGATAGAGTATGACAAGCTGGAGGCAAGTAAGTGCGTCTTCCAATAGACTGAGGATGTAACTCAGAATGTATCCCCATGTCCACCAAATCTTGTCGTGCTTTCACTCCATCTTTAGTCTTTCCTTTGATGTTTAGCAATGTCCCAATTACACTATCACAAACATTTTTCTCCACATGCATCACATCTATGCAGTGTCTAACATCTAACTTGCACCAGTAAGGAAGATTAAAGAATATTGATCGTTTCTTCCAGATATTTCTCTCAGTTGACTTCTTTTGCGTCTTTCCGAACACAATGTTAATGTTCTTCACCCGTTGATATACTTCTTCACCATTGCGCGGTGTCGAGGCAATTTCATCCTCTTGACTTCCATTGAATGCTTTCTTCAATCTACGGTATGGATGACTACGAACAAGAAACTTACGATGCCTAGTGTACGCAGTCTTTTGCCCATGTTTCAATTGGGTATAACTTGTGTTTTCTTCACATATAGGACATGCATAATGACCCTTCACACTATACCCACTCAAGTTACCATATGCTGGAAAATCATTTATTGTGCAAAATAACATTGCACGCATGGTAAATTTTTCTTCACGATATGCATCAAAGACCTCCACTCCTGTGTCCCACAACATTTTCAAGTCATCAATCAATGGACTAAGATACACATCTATGTCATTTCCTGGTTGTCGGGGACCTGATATCATCATAGACAACATAATATATTTTCTCTTCATGCATAGCCAAGGAGGCAAATTATAAATGACCAACAAAACTGGCCATGAACTGTGTTTACTACTTAAGTTCCCATAAGGATTCATGCCATCTGTAGCTAAACCAATTCTCAAGTTTCTTGACTCTGCACCAAATTCTGGAAATGTTTCATCAATCCTCTTCCATTGCGGAGAATCAGCTGGATGTCGAAGAAAATTGTCACATTTTCTACCATTTTCATGCCATGTGAGGTTTTTTGCATCCTCTTTAATGGCAAACAATCTTTTAAACCTAGGTATTATTGGCAAATACCATAAGACCTTAGCAGGGGGACCCTCTATTTCTTCCTCACCACTACTTCCATCAGTTTTCTTTTTGAACCGCGACAATCCACATGTGGGACACACTTTCAGTGTAGCAAAATCATTTGTATACAATATGCAATCATTAGGGCACGCGTGTATCTTCTTATACTCCAAACCCATTGGACATAGTATCTTTTTTGCCTCATAGTTGCGATTAGGTAACGTGTTATCTTCTGGAAGCATCTCCTTCAATAACTCCAACAATTCTGTGAAACTTTTATCAGTCCAGCCATTTCTTGCTTTTAAACTAAACAATCTTAAAGTTGCTGATAATCTTGTAAACATACTGCATCCTGGGTACAATGGTTGCTCAAAATCAGACTTTAAGGTATCATACACATGTGCTCTTTCAAAATTTTCTTCACCAACATCACGTATCATCTCTTCTAAATTATCGTTCATCCCTTCAAAATTTTCAGTTGTTGACACCGTTGGAATGTCTAATATTTCTCTGTGTCATGTCCATACTGTATAACTCTTCACAATACCATATATAAACAGGTGATCACGTATTTCCCCAACTTCTTGACGTATCTGATTCAAACAACGAACACATGGACAATAATATGCCCCTTTGATGGGTTTCCCCATTTTCTCTTGCAAATTCCAAGAACTCTTCAACTCCATTTCTGTACTCTTGACTAATGCGACTTGCATTCATCCAACTTCGATTCATTATCTATATATTAACACAAATTAGCTATTGACTCAGTTATTCATAATTTTTCTAACCTAAACTACAACCCTAAAAAATCGATAGTAATTTCAGATAAAATCCATAAATATTTCTACTAATACGATGGTAAACTAAAGGTCAATGCATAAAAAGTCATTCTTGAATGCATCTGGAACGGCCCATACTGAAACCAGAACGGGTCGTTCCAGATACACAATTAACAAAGATTTATGCGTCTGGAACGACCCATTCTAAAATCAGAACGGCCCGTTCCAGCTGCAATACTTCTGTGTTAATTGTTGATCTGGAACGGCCCATACTGAAACCAGAACGGGTCGTTCCAGATACACAATTAACAAAGATTTATGCGTCTGGAACGACCCATTCTAAAATCAGAACGGCCCGTTCCAGCTGCAATACTTCTGTGTTAATTGTTGATCTGGAACGGCCCATTCTGGTTTCGGAATGGCCTGTTCCAGATCAACAATTAACAAACAAAAAATCAAGAAGAACGACTGTTCTAGTTGCAGAACAGGCCGTTCCAGATGAACATATAACAGAAAATAAAAAAAAATTACTTAGAGAAGAAACTAATCTCAAATGTGCAATGTGCAGACTTTTAGAGACTTAGAAACGTGCAGTGTGCAAATAAAGGAACTTAGAGACTTAGAGAATAAGAGAATAAGAGACTTAGTTTTCGTAAACAAAGGACGCGCGGGAATGAAAATGAAACGTTAGGGCATTTTAGTGGCTAATTTACGTCGGACAGGGGGCATGTGGCCGACGTAGATTGTCTAATTTACGTCGCCCCCCCTGTCCGACGTAATTTAGTCACTCTTTATTTACGAAATTGCCACTGCGTTTTTATAACGTCGGATTTTCGTTTTTTTGACGTAAATTAGGTGATGTAGTAGCTTATTTTTGCACTAGTGTTAGTTTGGGGAATCCAAAATTTATTGCACCACTTTTTTTTTATAAAAAAAAAACAGAATTTGTAAAAAAAAAAAGTATATAACTAAACAAAATATAAAGATAGAGATTAAAAAATTTGTAACTTTAAATATAAAAAAATTGATATGATATATTTAAATTATAAACTCAATTTTACACACTTGAAAGTGTTATTATTGTAGATGGAACATTTGATGATAAGTATTTTGGATATTTTATGTTAGCTCGGCACATGATATAGATCTCCGTGACACAAAAAGTTTATTTTCTATGTCGGATGATTAACGCATATCATAATATGTGATACGAAATTTGGTGATTTGATATATTGTCACTCATATTCTATGGTGGGTGGGGTGTTACTTGTCATAGAATGTAGGGTTTTTTTTTTTTTTTTAATATTTTGTTTGTTTTATGAATGTTTTGAAACCTACATAACATATATACATTTCAAGCAATTTAAATCAACATACTATCCAATTCAATACTAACCTACATAATATATAATATCTATGATTTAAGTTGAAATAATATATAAATTAAATTTCATAGTAATGAAAGACAATTAACTATAAAGTTAAAGTTAAAAATAATTATCATTAATTAATAATAATGTACACAAATAAAACTAAAATAATATACACAATTATATGAGTATACTACAACAAAATGGACTTCTAATGACATTTGATGTTGTTTTTAGTGCAATAAAAATGGTTGCAAAATATTTTAATAGCATTTCTACATTAGTCATTATATATATGTAGTGTCAATAATAATTTTTACTATTACCACTACAAGTTTAAGAAAGGATTCTTTGTTGAATTTTCCTCTACTTATATTTAGCACTATTGAGCTTGATATATGAATAAATGGTGGATAATCTAATACCATCTTAGAAGAGTGAGTTATGAACCAAACTCAACCTTATAAAACTAACTTGTAAAACGAGAGTTATTATTTACTTATATACTCTTTAATTATTTTAACTTTAGTCGATGTGGGACTTAAACTTTTTCCAATAAAATGAATTAAAAGTTACTCTAACTTTTTACTGGTCATTTTTAACAATTACTCTTACAAATATATTTTTAGTGACTATTATTTATTAGTCATTAATATTTTTATTAGATAATAAAATAGAGACAATTAATTTATTATCATTAGATAATTGTTGATAATAGTAATTTTTAGTGTAGTTTAAATACATTTTTAGTGACTATTATTTATTATCCATTAATATTTATTAGATAATAAAATAGAGATAATTACTTTATTGCCATTAATTATCGTTAATAGTAAATTTTGGTTTAGTGGTACTAATAGGATAAAAATAAAACATAAATATCTAGCCAATGTACACAAATAAAACTAAAACAATGCACACAAATAACAACAAATATTATACACATAATAGGTAATACATATACAAACATTAGGAGGAAAAGTAGAAAGATGATTGCCTATGCTAACCATAGGTTTCTAAAAAGGAAAAACCAATCATCTTAATAATTAAAATAACAATAAATATTATATACATAACAATAATATAATAAATACGAATATTATAAATTCAATACATTACTAGTTTTAAGTCTAGATATTCTTTCACAATCCTTCATTATGGTCATCACGTGTAGCATGTACATTGTCATTGTCGTTGTCCACATTCAACCTATGCATGCATGTGGAGAAAGAAAGAGTCTAACAAATGTCAAGAGTCTCTAAGTACACAAAATGAAAGTGGTGACATCTAATTTATCATAATCAAGTATGGACCTAGAGAACAATAAGAGATGCAATCAATCGAAATCTTATCAAATTTAAAATGAGACTCAACATATATATATACACACACATACATTAATCAACTATAAAAATATATAT